CACAAACCCAGAGATGGAGTAAAAATGGCCACAATTTGTTTATTGATTACAGGAACAAAAAGAGTTGACTGCCAGGCATGGGTACTGGATCAAGATTGATCAGCCCGCTGTTGACCGATACCAAAAGAACCCGACACGGGACCAACCGGCACAATACCGGGCAACAAATAACAGCACCCCTGGGAACCGCCGGATGTTCCCTCCCAGGCCAGTAAGGGAGGGGCAGAAACCAGATCCAGGATCCATGCCACAAAAGGGGGGATGGTGGGCCACCACGCCCCTTGCTGCCAACCCTGGTTGCCTGCAACCAATAAACTGCCTGTTTCCCAAAATCCTGCACACCGCAAGTCTTTGGTTTTCTGCCGATGCTATTGGAGCCCAAAGTTCAGAGTTCTAAGTCTCCGGCCCATCCATCGATGAGCTCATTCTTAGGGTGCCTTCTTGTCGAGCTGCGCCCTAGAAACAAGTTGCCTAGTTGGTGCCGCTCTGCACCCCATGGGTCCTATTTCCGTTGCCACTTTCCTTCTTGCCTGTCGCAGCAGCCCTGCGGGAGTGAGAAACAAGAGCAGCCAGAAGTCGCGGGCCCCTCGAGGAGGAGGCTTGGCTTGATGTAGGATGTATACACAGTGGATTTCCAGCACCCCATGGCCCTAATGCCTTCCACAGTGATGCCACTCACCGCAGCTGCAGTAGCTATCCTGAAAGAATGTCCCCCAAACTCAACATGTGGAAAGCCCAGTTCCTTGAGAGACATTCAGAAGATAGCCATGAACTAATACCTAGTGAGGGGGCTCCCATCTTGGTGTACAAACAGCAGACCCGGGGCGGTGCCACGTGCACCAAGGAACCTAGCGAGGGTCCAGACTGGACACAGTTGCGCTGCCTGAATTCCCTTGATGGCGAGGGAGACCCCTTTTCCCCCCTGGTCTGTCTTGGACCTGCAGGAGGCGCCCTCCGCCACAACCAGCCTTGCCTGATAAGTCGGGCAATGAATTATCATTCAAATCAAATAAGATGTATAGTATATATATATAGTATATATAAACAAAAGAGCTTGGAGTGGCTGGAAGAAGTTGATAAAAAATTAAAACTGAAATTAGAATACATTTTTATAGGGTAATAGAGGAAATGGTAAAAAGAAATGGTATAATAATTTAAACAATTATTAAACAAATGGTATAATAATTTAAACAACGAGTACGACATGTTGGAAATGTAAGAGCAGTGAAGGATCATTCTTCCACATGTGGTGGACGTGTGACAAGGCAAGAAAATTCTGGAGAAAAATTCATGAAGAAACTCAAAATATGCTAAAAATACAGGTACCACTGAAACTGGAGTTATTTCTATTAGGGATGTATGACAGAAATTTAGATAAGGATAAAGACAAAATACTATTTTTGGCACTAACGGCTGCGAGAATGTGCTACGCTAAAGTATGGAGGCAAGAAGAGATCCCAGATGTGGACGATTGGATAATAAAAATGACAGATATTAGGAATTTAGATAAACTTACCTTCTTGCTACTGAAAAATAGAGAAATCAGAAGAAAAGAAACGGACTGGAGCGAAGTTACCGAATACTTAAAAAAGAAGAAAAAAGAAATAGTAATCTAAGAAAGGCGATTATAGACGGAAACGAGATAAAAAGTGGGAAAGAAGAGAGACAAAGAATTAAATGTGAAACGAATTCATAAAGTAGACTTCCAGAAGATACCAGGAGGTCAAATTTCTTTATTTCTTTTTTTTCCTTCTCTTTTTCCTCCATTTTTTTTCATGCTATTTGTGTTCTGTCGTGTTTTTTTTGTTTTGTTTTTAGTTTTATGAAAATTTCAATAAAGAATATTTTAAAAATAAATAAATAAAAATAATTTAAACAACCCCTTTTAAAAATATTTTGAAGAGGGCCCTGGGGGCAGGAATGGTCCTGATGGTGGAGGTAGACTTGTTGGAGCTGTATCCATCAGACTGTCTTGGACCTCCATGGCTGACAAGACTGACAGCAGAGGCACCGACAGAGCCAGCATTGATGGTGTTGCTGTGGCACCCCTGCCACACTTTGTGCATGTGTGGTCTACGCATTGGGTGGCTCCACGACGTGCTGTGGCTGAGGTTCAGGAAAAGGTTGAAAAAGCCTGCCCTCTCCCTGCAGTGTAGGTGCAATATACGGCAAAGGTGGAGGAGCCACAACCGAGCCAGATCCCACCCTTTTTGCAGGGCTCGACTGCTTTGAGGGCATTTCATGGCCATTTTGGCAATATTTTTCCCTGGCCTACTTAGGTTTCTTCTTTTGTGGTGCCACTGCTTGAATTTCAGAGGACATGAGAGGTAAGTTTCTATCCCCAGAGGAGACAGAAGATCCCGGTTGGCGCTTGGGCGGGGCTGATGGCAAAAGGGCCCGCTCGTATAATGAGGCCTTAAGCCTGGACTCCTGATTTGAGGCATAAAAGCCAAACTAATGACATAAGATTGGGACAAGTGTCCCTCCCGCAGGCATAGGAGACACAGAGAATGGCTATTGTTATCAGGAAAAATAATCGAACAGTTGGCACAACGCTTAAAAGACATAGTAGCCGACATTATGCTAGCAAATTGAGAGGGCAATACTTAGGCAGTCCAAAGACGATCTGGGAGAAATTCGGCAAGAGTTAAGGCATTCCGAGGTCAAACACGAGAAAAAACAGTCCAATAAATGCTAGTCAGAAGCAAAGATTCAAGAGCTGCTGCTAAAGTGGTGGATGAAAAGAAACTGAGCAATACCCCCCCCCCCCCGCGGCTATATATACACTTGATGGGGAGAGTGGGTGGGGCTACTGCCTAAAAATGTTTCATAATTTATCTAGAAGATTCCAAAGCTGTCTGCTAAGGCACAGAAAGTAATATATGTGTGACCACAATGGAGAAATTCCATATGTGCAAATTCACAGACACCACGAAGAATAATAATAATACCCGCTTCTCCTTGTAATTGTGGGCATTGTTTTAATAATAATAATAATAATAGGTTCCAGAATCATCATCATCATCATCATCATCATCATCATCTAATTACTTATTAATCGCCCTCCATCCGAGAATGCTCTAGGCGATTTACAGCTAAATTGTAAAAGATAAAATACATACATACAAAAATTAAAAATTAGCAGGGATCGAATGCTCTGGTAAAAAGCCAGGTATTAAGTGCTTGAGTAAAAGGTCCTAAATCACGCATGGCTCTCATATAGGGCGGCAAGGAATTCCATAAGGCAGGGGCAGAAATAGAAAAAGCCCTGCGTCTGGTCCTTTCCAAGTGCACTTCTCTAGGACCCGGTATATAGAGTAAGTCACGTTGGGCTGGTCGTTGCAACCTCCGACGATGGGAGAAGGAGAGGCGGTCCCTAAGGTACAATGGACCCTGGCCGTAAAGAATTTTAAAGGTCAGAACTAGCATCTTATACAGGCCACGGCACTCAGTTGGAAGGCAATGTAAATGTTGTAGCACTGGTGTTATATGGCATTTCATGGGCATTCTTGTGAATAACCTGGCTGCTGCATTCTGAACGATACGAAACTTTTGGGTCGTAGACATCGGAAGGCCAACATACAGGGCGTTGCAATAGTCCAGCCTAGACGTGACGGTGGCATGGATGACTGTTGCCAGAGCCTCGTCAGATAGGTAGGGTGCCAGTTGCCTCGCTTGTCGTTGATGGAAAAAGGCCTGTTTGCTGGCAGCAGCAACCTGAGCTTCCATTGTGAGCTGTGAATCCAGGACGACACCTAAGCTCTTAACAGTGGTCGATGGAGATAGGGCGGCACCATCGATGTTGTGGCTCAGCGTCTTGACAGCGAAGCTGCTACCGGTTGTAGGAAAAGGAGGAGTAATGTTGAGTCAGAGCTGGATCAGCGTCAGCTGGAGTGTATTCGAGATATATTCTTAGCACCTAGCGACACGGAAGATTTTGCAGGGTTTGGACCCGAGGATCTGGAAGAAGGGGATTACCGGGGAGTAAAGCGGGCTGCCAATGAGTCTGTTAGTGATGAGGAAACTTTGAGTAAACGGCTTAAAGATACAGCTGACAGTTCCAGTGCAGATGAACTGGAAGCCAGTAATGAGGAGATGGAGGAGGAATTGGACTGGACTCGGTTTAGGGAAATTCAGGACATATGTAATCAGCCCACGTCCAGTGAAGAGTTCGAGGGATTCCAAAATACATGGCAGGAAGGTACATCTTGGCAGGATTCTGAATTAGATCAACGATGGCAGCGTTGGCGAGGTAACGAGCTAGCAGCTGGGGGAGATTACCCAGATGATAGCGATGCTAGCCAATCAAACGATAGTGACTGCTAATAAAAATGGGAGCTCTGGGATATGTAGCTTTGCAGAGGACAAAGCGTTGTATCCGGTCTTTGTGCTGCCTAACCTCTGTTTGGGTCCTGGGTTTCCAGTTATTGTGTCTTCTTGTACCTTGACTTCGGATTGGACTACGTAAGTGACTTCTCCTTATCCCTGACTTTGGAAACGTTCCTGGATCCCGCAACTGCTTTCTGGACTTTGTTTACTGCTCTTGCCTGTGTATGACCAAACACCGTTTTGACTCCGTGTTTATCAATGCCAGTGTTTGCTCCTGCTTTCCTTTTTCCCTGAGCTTGAGTCCTGGGATAATCCGGCTTCTCTCCCTCCTTTGTTTACTTGCCTGAAGGCCTTTTGTTTTGCTAACTAGCACTGCTGCTCAAGTGCTGTTAGTCTACCAGAGACTCATTAAAGACTTTTGTTAACCCTTAAACTGCTGTGTGAGACAATCTTTGGTGCCCAGTCACAACAATCGAAGGTGGGTAACTGCGCATGCACAGGAAAATCCCATATGTGCAAATTCACAGACACCACAAGGAAGAAGAATACCCACTTCTCCTTGTAATGGCGGGTATTGCAAATGGCAGCCACCATTTGGGCAGTTTCTCCTTGTAGTCGAAGGGAAATATATTCCGAGGGAGACCCGAATAACATGCTACTGGCAGACCTCCTTTCAGTTGCAAAGTTTATTTAACAGTGCATCATGTATTTACATATAAGCTGTAACCAAGCATTGAACAGGCATCAGTTTTGCATAGAAAAACAAAACAAAACAAAACTAATATCCGGAGCGTCATGCTTGTTTGAATGATTGTCTCTGGCAGAAAGAAAGAGCTAGCATACAAAAATACCCCTGTTTTGTCGAAACCTAAGGCACTGCTCTAAACGTCCTAAAACATTTGGAAACAGCAAAGCGTACAAAGGGAAGGGTGGAGGACAACAACCGCAACAAGAAGGGGAAAGGACCTGTTCCCAAGTCATTCCCAAATGACTTGGGAATAGGAACATGGCTCCAGTGCAAGTGTTTGCACTAGGAAGTAGAAAACAGGGCAGCAGCTTAGTGCTTAGTGAAAAAACAGCTCTTTGAAAAAGGACACCGAACCGTTTGGGGCCTGAGAACCAACACAACGCTTCCACAGCCCATTCCTTCATGCGAGATCAAGTCAGGGGGAGTTAAGGCTACGCAGGTTGCTCAACAACGGCCTTGAAGGCCAAGAGAAAGCGCGCCCAAGGATACAACCAACAAGGACAAAACAGAACGGAACAAAACACACAACATCAAGGGTCTAATACTGGTTTTATGTACACATACACACACAAATAATACTTACAAGGTGTGAAAGAGCAACTTAAATACATGTCATGTGTGTATGCGTTTCTCTCAAAAGAAGGAGTTCAAACAAAACGGATGAAAACAGCATTAATTCATGGGTTGGGCAAAATGTGCAGGAGATGAACAAGCGAATGGGTACAGAGAGGCCAACCAATCGACGTCAAGGTGCCCTGTTTGCTCAGCACATATTTGGATCCATTCTTTAAAAATTAAGTAGTTTGGTTAAAGACCATTTGTCGAAATGGCTTAGGTGAGTTTAAGATAAATATATAGCCTCCCAAACACTTAAGAGAATAATTGAGTTGGGGGGTCTTGCCTTTGACAGCCCTCCTGTACAATTTGTATAGGAAGTCCCTATTGTATATTCACACTGACAAGACTAATCGACACATGTGTTGCAGGGCCCATGGTGCACCAGAAGGAGGTCATGGTGGTATCAACCACAGGGCCATGGAACTCCAAGTCTTGTGGGTAATTTCTGCCTTTTCCAACTTGTCAGAGCGAATCCTTTCAAGGTTTGTTAGAGAATATCCTATCAAGTTTATGCTACAGACAACGTGACTGGAAAAACAACTATATCTGGGCATTCTCCGCTATTTCGATCCAGCTTTCTCTGTAAAAACTGCCTCCTGTAGTGATTAAGATAATAATATACTAGTAATATGCATTAGAATCGCATCTAGGAGAAGTCTTGTCTTTCACCCCAACAGGAAACAAAGAGGCACTGGCAAGTTTTAACGAACATTTCATTAGAAAGTGTTATTTTTTTAAAACCTGGTTAAATGAATCCATGTCACAGAGCAACAGCAAGAGTCTTCCTGAAAAGGTCTCAAAGTGCAAAGCTCTGATGGGGAAGAGAGTTTATCCTTCTTTTTTTTTTTGCTCGAAACATGGACCAAAAACAGGTCCACAAGTAGCTCAAAAACAAGGCCTTCATGACTTGTGGAAACCCTGAATGTCCCAAAGTGCCGGTCAGGAGCCTTCCAGGGTTCTAGTGTTCACAGTTCTGTTCAAAAGGGAGAGGGAACCCTGTTTTAGGGCCCTCCTGCTAAACATTAGGATGAAACTGACACTTCAGGGCTTAGCACCGAAGAGGCGCGCACAAAGCGGGTTTCATTTTGTGCAGCAAACCAGATACAACACAGTGCTTTCCAGACAATATATGTTTCAAAGTGTTCTCTTTCTCGGATTGAGGAAGAAGAGGGCAGTTTAGCCAAGGGTTGGGGTGAGGGGTGACATTCCACCAGGAAGGAAGGAAGGAAGGCCCCTGAACCAAACATCCTAACCGTAGAGTCAATTCGTGAGGCAAGGGGGGAACCAGGGACAACACATATTGCTTGAGTTGCAGCAGAGAATGGAAGGGACTAACTCCCTATTTTCCGCTCGATTTGGAGCATCCTTCCCTGCATTCCCTTGCTCTTTACAAAAACAATGCCTGCCAAGTTAAAACTAAGTGGAGATTTGGTTTCTGAACTGAACCGAGGAAGGAAGGCAGGCAGAAGGCGGCAAGCTCCCCGGTCAGTGTATATTACCTGATGCCGCCTCTATGGGTTTGGTCAAGGGATTCGTGGCACTTTCCTCCTCAAAGGCCAGCCTGGGGCTGCCAGGCACTGCAGTTGCCGCAGCATCCCTACAGTTCTGGGAGGATATCTCAGCAGCGAGGCTCTCTGAACTGATCCTGGTTGTCTTGGGGTGAAGGTCGAGATCGATGATCTCCTCAAAATTCCACGCCGAAGGTTTCCCATTCAGGTTGGAGAGGAATCCTACCGAGTGGTCGGCTTCGTTGATATCCAAGATTCCCGAGTTCCCAATAATTGCATCTTTTGCTGGAGGGCTGCAAAGGGATGGCAAGAAAACCAGGGTGAATCTTGGTGATCTGAAGCATTTTTAAAGCAGCGTTTCTCAACCTTCCTAATGCCATGACCCCTTAATACAATTCCTCATGTTGTGGTGACCTCCAACAATAACATTATTTTTGTTGCTACTTCATAACAGTGGTCCACGCTCTTGTTACATCCCAAATAGATTACTGCAATCTACTCTATGTCGGGTTGCCTTTGAAGACTGTTCAGAAGCTCCAACTAGTCCAACGTAGTCACCGTAGCATCATACAGGTCTCAGCGGTGGCCGGGAGAGCTTATGCACAATTAAAACTTGTGCACCAGTTGCGCCCGTACCTTGGGAAGTCTGATCTGGCCACAGTGGTCCACACTCTTGTTACATCCCAAATAGACTACTGCAACGCACTCTATGTGGGGTTGCCCTTGAAGACTGTTCGGAAACTTCAACTGGTCCAGTGAGCGGCAGCCAGATTGCTCACCGGAGCGACATACAGGGAACACACCACCCCCCTGCTGTGTCAGCTCCACTGGCTACCGGTTCACTTCCGAGCACAATTCAAGGTGCTGGTTTTGACCCACAAAACCCTTTATGGTTCCGGTCCAGTGTATCTGTCCGAACGTATCTCCCTCTACGTTCCAATTCTATTGTGGAATTGGAATTTGAACTATGAGATTGTGAAACGCTGACCGTCAATGAGGAGACATGGTTTGTATTGGTTTTATTGCTTTTATGGTTGTTTTTGCCTTACAATAATTATTGTTTTCTATTAATTGGTGTTATTGCTAGAATTGCTGTTTTCCGTTAAGTGATGTTATTTGTCTTATTGCTGTTATGTGATGCGGGCATCGAATTGTGCCTTGCTTTTGTAAGCCGCCTTGAGTCCCCTCCGGGGTGAGAAGGGCGGGGTAGAAGCAACCGAAATAAATATAATAAATAAATAATAAATACAGAAAGCATACAACTGCTCTGCTACACCAGCTCCACTGGTTGCCAATCCGCTACCGAGCACAAAAGTGCTGGCTTTAGCGTATATAGCCCTGAACGGTTCTGGCCCAGCTTACCAATAATAATAATAATAATAATAATAATAACAACAACAACTATTACAGAATGTGCATATATATGCTAAGTCTTTACAAGGATCATTGCCTGTATGGGTGCGTGTTGAGGAAGAACACTTGGACAATTAAGCAATTGAGCGTGAGCCACTCCCTGCATGGAGTATATCATGAGGAGTGTTTCATTGTGTATTCAGAGACAAGGTGATCAGATGATTGAGATGGGACTTTTATACTACAGGACTTGCTGAAGTTCTGGACCATTTACTACAAGACTCTTTGCACCATTGAGGAAGCAGAGAATGCATGATTTCAATGCATTGGACTTTTGTGTGAGTTATTTTGCTGCAATGGACTAAGTTTATTTTCAACGCTGGTTATTTTGTAAAGATGCATATTTACCTCTGACTACTCAAGAGTAATTTTTTTTTCCTTTTACTCCGACTCTGTGTGATTCAACAGAGGGCTGGGAAGACTGCTGGGTAGCTTCTGCATAGACTGATAACCGCAACAACAAAGCTTTATTTATATCCCGCTCCATCTCCCTCAGGGGGATTCGGTGCGGCTTACATGAGGCCATGCCCATCAATACAATACAAGCTATAACACAAACACAACAAAACAAGCAAAATACATAAAATGCAAAATCGAAATAATATACAACACAACAATATAAAATCAAGCATTAAAAACACAGGAAATTTCACTAGGCAGGGCCAGATGCATGGATAAAATTTCAACTTTGTGTATTTTATCTCAGTGCATTCCCCCCCCCCCCACTCAATTTTCCTTTAATCAGAACTGATCATAGCATATTTCAATAATCCATAATGGATGGCTCTCCTGACACATCTTGAGGGCACCAGGCTTACCTGGCTTCTATTGTTGGAGGGCAATACAAGGAACTCCCATCTCCATTCCTCCGATCGACTCCCTCCAACCGGTCCCCATTGACAAAGACATCATCCGCTTCCATTTTGGATTCGTCTTGGAAGGAAGCAAAACTGTGCTCTATCTCTGGACCATCTTCGAGAGAAGAGGAGTCATACTTTGCCTTCTCTGAAATGAGAGAATGAGGATAAAGGTAGAATCATAGAGTTGGAAGAGACCTCATGGGCCATCCAGTCCAACCTCCTACCAAGAAGCAGGAATATTGCATTCAAAGCACCCCTGACGGATGGCTATCCAGCCTCTGTTTAAAAGCTTCCAAAGAAGGAGCCTCCACCACACTCCAGGGCAGAGAGTTCCACTGCTGAACGGCTCTCACAGTCAGGAAGTTCTTCCTCATGTTCAGATGGAATCTCCTTTCTTGACAGATTAGAGAGAAGGGTCAAAAACTAACAAAATGAAGTTCAACAGTGACAAATGCAAGATACTCCACTTAGGCAGAAAAAAATGAAATGCAAAGATACAGAATGGGGGACGATGCCTGGCTAGAGAGCAGCATGTGTGAAAAAGATCTTGGAGTCCTTGTGGACAACAAGTTGTACATCAGCCAACAATATGATGCGGCAGCAAAAAAAGCCAATGGGATTTTGGTCTGCATCAATAAGAGTCAAGTGTCTAGATCAAGGGAAGTCATGCTCCCCATGCTCTATTCTGCCTTGGTTAGACCACACCTGGAATATTGTGTCCAATTCTGGGCACCACAATTGAAGAGAGATGTTGACAAGCTGGAATGTGTCCAGAGGGGGGTGACTGAAATGATCAAGGGTCTGGAGAACAAGCCCTATGAGGAGCGGCTTAAAGAGCTGGGCATGTTTAGCCTGAAGAAGAGAAGGATGAGAGGAGACATGATAGCCATCTACAAATACATGAGAGGAAGCCACAGGGAGGAAGGAGCGAACTTGTTTTCTGCTGCCCTGGAGACTAGGACGCAATGGAACAATGGCTTCAAACTACAAGAGAGAGGATTCCATAAGAATCATAGAATCAAAGAGTTGGAAGAGACCTCATGGGCCATCCAGTCCAACCCCCTGCCAAGAAGCAGGAAGATTGCATTCAAATCACCCCTGACAGATGGCCATCCAGCCTCTGTTTAAAAGCTTCCAAAGAAGGAGCCTCCACCACACTCCGGGGCAGAGAGTTCCACTGCTGAACGGCTCTCACAGTCAGGAAGTTCTTCCTCATGTTCAGATGGAATCTCCTCTCTTGTAGTTTGACGCCATTGTTCCGCGTCCTAGTCTCCAAGGAAGCAGAAAACAAGCTTGCTCCCTCCTCCCTGTGGCTTCCTCTCACATATTTATACATGGCTATCATATCTCCTCTCAGCCTTCTCTTCTTCAGGCTAAACATGCCCAGCTCCTTAAGCCGCTCCTCATAGGGCTTGTTCATGAGGAAGAACTTCCTGACTGTGAGAGCCGTTCAGCAGTGGAACTCTCTGCCCCGGAGTGTGGTGGAGGCTCCTTCTTTGGAAGCTTTTAAACAGAGGATGGATGGCCATCTGTCAGGGGTGATTTGAATGCAATATTCCTGCTTCTTGGCAGGGGGTTGGTCTGGATGGCCCACGAGGTATCTTCCAACTCTATTATTCTTCTCTATTGTTCAGTCCCTGACTAGCAAGGTAGAAAAGGGAGAAAGGGAGAAAAGGAAGCAAGAAATGAGCCTTAGTTGAAACTGCTGCTGTAGCCACAGTCCCCTCAATATTGGCCCAACCAGATGTTCTGGAACTGCGGAACTCCCTGCTGCGCTTCAAATCAGGCTGAATTCAGGGGCCTGCACGCTTGTCGACCTCAGAAGGAGAGAAAGAAAGAAGGAGCAAAAAAGGGAGGGAAGGTTGGCCACAGCAATGCGTGGCGGGTACACCTAGTAGGGAATAAAGGCCTTTCATTCTGCAAGGTGATAAATCGCCAGGGACTCCCTCTTAAGATACTCAGCGGCTTGGGCTCAAAATCCATTAGCCAAGGTTCAAATACAGCTCTTACCAGGTTGATCTTGCTTTTCAAGGCCCAGCTCGTCCTCTTCTTCAACATACTCATCTTCCTCGTTTGATTTATCTTCATTCTGCATCATAGAAAGTGAGAGTGGGAGGTAAGAGATTAGAAAGCAAAGGGAATACAAAAGGTTCCTGCGCCATTTGCTTTTGCCGGGCAACCAAAGAATGACCAGAAACACAAGCAGCTCAAAGGCAGTTGATACTCTCAGCGGTCTATTGACATAGAAAAAATCAGGCTGCTTTCCGATCATATCTGAACTTCTGCTTGATGTTTCCTCATATCTATTTATCGGCTGAGGAAACATGTATCCCCAAGTCCTACTTCAGTGGTTCTCAACCTTCCTAATGCCGTGACCGCTTATTACAGTTCCTCATGTTGTGGTGACCCCCAACCATCAATTTATTTTCGTTGCTACTTCATAATTGTAATTTTGCTACTATTATGAATCGTAATGTAAATATCTGATCTGCAGAATGTATTTTCATTCACTAGACTAAACTTGGCACAAATACCCAATATGCCCAAATTTGACTACTGGCAGGGTTGGAGGGGTTGATTTTATCATTTGGGAGTTGTCGTTACTGGGATTTATAGTTCACCTACAATCAAAGAGCATTCTGAACTCCACCAGTGATGGAATTGAACCAAACTTGGCACACAGAACTCCCATGAGCAACAAAAAATACTGGAAGGACTTGGTGGGCATTGACCTTGAGTTTTGGAGTTGTAGTTCACTTACATCCAGAGAGCACTGTGGACTCAAACAGTGATGAATCTGGACCAATCTTGCCACAAATACTCAATATGCCCTAATGGGAACACTGGTGAAGTTTGACATTTGGGAGTTGTAGTTGTTGGGATTTATAGTTCACCTACAATCAAAGTGCATTCTGAACCCCAGCAACGATAGAATTAGTCCAGCAACGATAGAATTCTATCCAACGATAGAATTAGATAGAATTAATTACTTCTCACACACATAACCTCCATGGCCAACAGAAAATACTGTCTTTTGATGGTCTTTGGTGATGACTGTGACACCCGCACGGAGGACGCCTCGCCGAATGGCGGGAGAGCGAGGCAGGCCCACACGGAGGACGCCTCGCCCCCTCACTGAATGGCGGGAGAGCGAAGCAGGCGAGGCAGGCTTTGCGCGGGCCAGGCTCGCACGGAGGACCCCTTGCCTTCCTCACCTCCTCGCTGAATATTGGGAGAGCAAGGAAGGCGAGGTGGGCTTTGCGCGCACCAGGCTCGCACGGAGGACCCCTCACCTGCCTCGGCAAATGGCAGGAGGGCGAGGCAGGCGAGGCGGGCTTTGCGCAGGCCAGGCCTTCACGGAGGACACCTCGCCTGCCTCGCCCCCTCGCCGAATGGCGGGAGAGCGAGGCAGGCGAGGCGAGCTTTGCGCGGTCCAGGCCACATGGAGGACGCCTCGCCTGCCTTGCCGAATGGCGGGAGAGCGAGGCAGGTGATGCAGGCTTTGCGCGGGCCAGGCCCACACGGAGAACGCCTCACCTGCCTCACCCCCTCACTGAATGGCGAGAGAGCGAGGCAGGCGAGGTGGGCTTTGCGCAGGGTCAGCCTTGCGTAAGGGAGACCTTGTCTGGCCCGCGCCCTTGGGGCGGGGCCAACGGAGGTGGCCTCGCGACCCCTCCAAAATGGCCAGGCGACCCTCTGGGGGTCGCGACCCCCAGGTTGAGAACCGCTGCACTACTTGCTTTGGGAAGACCATATAGCTCTAACCGATCGCAGCATCAGTTGCACCCAAAAGCCTTCCTGTGCCAGGCCAGGGTGAGGGGCTTTTGGCTTAACATTTTAACTTCTTTACATAAGCAGTCAGATGAGCAAGGTCTTGAACACAAACAAAGATCAGGATCAAAAGGCTCAGGCCTGAAGTGACACTTACCTTGGCTTCGTTCTGCTCTGCCTTCCGAGTTCTCTTCATGATTTCTTCAATTCTCTGTTGGAATGAGAGGGATGCCATTTAAGATAATAGAAAGATTCAATTCCCTATTTGCAGACACTTGAGTGTTAGTATCGAGCAAGTTTCACTATGTGCTTTTAATGTATGTGTTTTAGCCATGCTGTGCCCTGTCTTGAGCCTTAATGAGAAGTGGGTAATAAATAAATAAATACATCATCATCATCCAAAGCAAGAAGCTTTGAAATAGTTGAACAGAAGTTCTCTGAAGCTTTATAATAATAATAATAATAATAATAATAATAATAATAACTTTATTTATACCCCGCTACCATCTCCCCAAGGGACATATAGAAACCCAGCAATAACCTTCATCTTAAAGGTGGTTACTTCCCTCTGTTGCTAACAGAGCCTATGTTTTATTAATTTACATTTCATATCTACGCAATACATTTAATCCAGTTTAACACCACTTTAATTGCCCTGGCTCAATGCTATGGAATCATGGGAGGCATCAGCACCCAAATACCTGGGAGTCACTCTGGACCGTGCTCTGACCTACAGGAAGCACTGCCTGAACATCAAGCAAAAAGTGGGTGCTAGAAACAATATCATACGAAAGCTGACTGGCACAACCTGGGGATCACAACCAGACACAGTGAAGACATCTGCCCTTGCGCTATGCTACTCTGCTGCTGAGTATGCATTCCCAGTGTGGAACACATCTCACCACGCTAAAACAGTGGATGTGGCTCTTAATGAGACATGCCGCATTATCAAGGGTGTCTGCGCCCTACACCACTGGAGAAATTACACTGCTTAGCCGGTATTGCCCACCTGACATCCGCCGGGAAGTAGCAGCCAATAGTGAAAGGACCAAGGCAGAGACATCTCCAGCTCATCCCTTGTTTGGGTATCAGCCAGTACGTCAACGACTTAAATCAAGAAATAGTTTTCTAAGATCTACAGAGACACTCGCTGGAACACACCAGCAAGCGAGAGTCCAAAAGTGGCAGGCTCAAACCCAGAACCTCAACCAATGGCTGATACCAAATGAGAGACTCCCCCCTGGGCACACAGAGGACTGGGCGACATGGAAGGCACTGAACAGACTGCGCTCTGGCACCAGAAGATGCAGAGCCAACCTTCAGAAATGGGGCTACAAAGTGGAATCCTCGACATGCGAGTGTGAGAGAAGAGCAAACCACTGACCACCTGCTGCAATGCAACCTGAGCCCAGCCACATGCACCATGGAGGACCTTCTTGCAGCAACACCAGAAGCACTCCAAGTGGCCAGATACTGGTCAAAGGACATTTAATCAACTACCAAACTCACACATTTTGTATTTTCTCTGTTTGTTTGCTTTGTTCTGATAGAAATGTAATATAATTGACTGGCTGCCCTGACACGAGGAATAAATAAATCCCTAAGGTATGAAAGAAAGTGACGGACATGAGGAGAAAGGTACCTTTTTCCTCTCCAGTCTCTCCTGCATGTTCTGCTGCATGATTCGCTCCCGTTCTTGACGCTGCTTTTCAGCCTCTTCCAGGGCCTTTGCTTCAGCTTCTTCCCGCTATAAAATGAAAAGAGGGAGAAAGGGTGCCATTTGGAGAAGCTAGGAACTTCCAAAAGGCCAGTCAAGCTAAAAAAACCACAAAGGGCCTTTTTTTCTGAGTCCCAAACCTGTAGCTGAAGTTCAGCCTGCTTTTCCTGCTCTTCCTGTTCCCTCTGAACTCTTTCCTTCTCGGCCAGCCTTTGTTGTTCCTCCTCCTCCACTCGCCTCGCTGCTTCCAGTCCTCGGAGTGCCTCTTCCTCTTGGGCCTGCTCCTCAAGCGCCTTCTTGGCCATTTCTTTTTTTCTGACCCTAAGAGTCCCAAATATATTGACAAGGGATCAGTATCCTGTTGTTAGATTCTCTCTCGGGGATACTCTTAAGATTTGTGTGTTTCACAGCAGAGAATGAAAGTGTTTTGTCAGTTTTTGTCAGAAATATTAAAAATTAACTAGGTGTTTTTATTAGGCGCAGGTCCTTACCTACAAAGCCCTGAACGGTTTGGGAACCTCCTACCTGCGTGACCGCATTTCTGTGTACGAACCCACACAACCCCTTAGATCATCTGGAGAGGTCCTGCTCACGCTCCCACCTCCATCGCAGGCACGATTGGTGGGGACGAGTGTAAGACTGTAGGTTTTATATAGCAATATTAAATGATCACTCACAAGCCGTTTTTGCTTTGAAATGAATATATTGCTTGTATCTCTGCAGCAAAGAAAGACACTACTGACTTTTTCCCACCACCACTTCCTTTTATACACCTTTCCTGCCCATCTCCTCTCTCTTCTCAGTTTCCTTATTAGAGCTTGTTGCTTCACAAGTTCCAATACAACAGTGGTTCTCAACCTTCCTAATACCGGGACCCCTTAATACAGTTCCTCATGTTTGGCGACTCTCAACCATAACATTATTTTCGTTGCTACTTCATAACTATCATTTTGCTACTGTTATGAATCATGTAAATATTTTATATGCAAGATGTATTTTCATTTACTGGACCAAATTTGGCACAAGTATCCGATACACCCACATTTCAAAACTAGTGGGGTTGATTTTGTCATTTGGGAGTTGTAGTTGCTGGAATTTATAGTTCACTTACAATCAAAGAACATTCTGAATTCCACCAACAATGGAATTGAACCAAAGTTGGCAAACAGAACTCCCATGACCACTAGAAAATACTGGAAGGGTTTGGAGGGCATTGACCTTGAATTTTGGAGTTGTAGTTCACCTACATCCAGAGAGCACTGTGGACTCAAACAATGATGGAGCTTGACCAAACTTGGCACAAATACTCAATATACCCAAATGTGAACACTGGTAGAGTTTGGGGAAAATAGACTTGTCATTTGGGAGTTGTAGTTGCTGGAATTTATAGTTCACCTACAATCAAAGAGCATTCTGAACTCCACCAACGATGGAATTGAATCAAACTTGGCACACAGAACTCTCATGCCCAACAGAAAATACTAGAAGGGTTTGGTGGGCATTAACCTTGAGTTTTGGAGTTGTAGTTCACCTACACTCAGAGAGCACTGTGGACTCAAGGAATGTTGGAGCTGGACCAAACTTGGCACGAATATTCAATATGCCCAAATGTGAACATTGATGGAGTTTGGGGAAAATAGACTTGACATTTGGGAATTGTATTTGCAAGGATGTATAGTTCAACTACAATGAAAGAGTATTCTGAACCCCACCAATGATAGAATTGGACCAAACTTCTCACAGAACCTTCATGACCAACAGAAAATATTGTGTTTTCTGATGGTCTTTGGTGACTCCTTTGACCCCCCCAGGGGTCCCGACCCCCAGGTTGAGAACCACTGCAAAACAAGGTTTCCAGTGCCCTCTGCTGGCTTCAAAATATCACAGAGAAAAAAGGCAGCCAGGATGGTTCAGTCAGGATGTCACGGAGGGAATTTGTGATGTCTTCATGCCGTCAGAAATTAACTCCTGACAATGAGGGAGAGAGCTTTCTCGGTGGTGGCCCCTCGACTCTGGAACTCACTCCCCAAGGACATCAGGCATGCCCCAACTTTGGCAGTCTTTAGGAGGAGCCTGAAAACGTGGTTGTTCCGGTGTGCCTTCCCAGAATAAGGAAACTCCCAGCAATATGTCCTCTAAATGCACTTTACTATAGATCTAGGAATGTTTGCATGCCCCATTCCTCTCTGAAAACTCTATCCTAGTTCATATTTCACCTGTTCATGTTCAGCATTATCTTTAAATTTTAATTATTACATTTGACCCAGCCATAGGTTTTAAATGTCATTGTGTTAATGTTTATTGCTTATTTTTGTTATAAGTTTTATTTTATTGTTTTGTATTATTTGTTGTTATTGCTTTATTATTGATGTATTGTGGGCTCGATTTTGCTTGCTTCCACCTTGTTTCCTTATGCTTATTGAACTCTGTGATTTTGAACTTTTTGTTATCCCAGATTATATCTCAGTATAATCCGGATTATTCTTTAAATTACTTTTTTTTGCACAGCAGTTGCTGAAGACTCTTAGTTATTGCTAGGAACACTGAGTTAAGTGTTCCTAAGCTATTTTTTGTTGTGTTAATAAACAATGTTTGAACTTTTACTTTGTGTCTGGCTCCTTTAAGGCATCTGGTTCACGACACTTGCCTTGCAAAAAAAAAAAAAAAAAGGAAAAAGAAGCCAGCTAAATGACCGGGATTGTGGCGCAGCTGGCTGAGTGTCAGCTGCATTAAGATCACTCTGACCAAAAGGTCATGAGTTCGAAGACAGCCCAGGTTGGAGTGGGTTTCCAACCAATTGTATAGCTTGTAGTCGACCTTTGCAACCCGAAAGACAGTTGCATCTGTCAAGTAGGAAAATTAGGTACACCTTAAAGTGTGGGGAGGCTAAATTAACTAATTTATGAGGCCATAAAGAAGACTCCAGCAAAGCACTCCAGCGGGGAAGCATGCGGGGAATGCGGAAGTACTTTATCAGCGTCGCAGATGGACGATGAAAGTGACAGCTCCCCTGGCGGCCAGAAAAAGTTAAATAGCCTCTGTGTATGTCTGTATATGTTTGGATGTCAAAAATTGGCTTTGAATGTTTGCCATATATGTGAACACTGTAATCCGCCCTGAGTCCCCTGCGGGGTGAGAAGGGCAGAATATAAAAGCTGTAAATAAATAAATGGATCGGGGGAGTTATTTAATGAGTAAAAAAAGTTAAATTTATTATTATTTATTTATTTGCGGCATTTATATGCCGCCCTTCTCACCCCGAAGGGCACTCAGAACGACTTACAATATATATTTTCATACAATATATTATATTATTAGCATAGTACAATATCAGTATATATTACTATATTGCACTATACCATTATATTGTAATATTATTAGTAATATTACATGTAATGTAAATATATAATTATAATTATAATACTGAATTATTATTACTAGTATTATATTGTATTACATTATAATATTATAAATATTATATGCATATGCAATATACTATATTATAATTATTAGTAAAGACAAGATGGAAGTGTCTTCTGCTCCCTTCTGTCTTCGCTCTGGCCAGAGCAGCCATTGGTGCCAGAAGGGGGATATAATTTAAATTTAAATGTGATATAAATCATATAATCCATGTTAATTGGTAGAGTTTTATAGAAGTAAAGAGAAAGGGTTTTAGCTGGATGGGCGGAACATCTGTACAGACTGTTTAAAGAATGTTTAAGAATTTGGGGGTGGGGGTGGGGGGATTTTGGAGACACAAGAGTCAAATGTACAAGGAGAGACAGGGAGCATTTCTCCCAAACACCTTACAGGGTAGGGGCGAACCACAAAAGCATACATAAAAATAACTTCCATTTATTGCTTTGAATGATTATGGTTAAAATAATTAGGTTATTTTTGTTAAAAATCAACGGGCTGGTGGGAAAGGCTAAAAAGTTTCGATTACAAAGCTTTGCGAGGGCAGAAGGGGCCCACTTTCTGTGTTTACAAAAAAATCATGAACAACCATTGCTGAATTCCAACTTATGGGAAACAGTAGCTGTAACTAAAGGGACCAAAAGATCGAGGGGAACAGAGATTTTAATGAGGAAAAATACAAATATACAGATCCTGTGCAAAAATGCTCCCAAGTGCTTTACCTTTCCTCTTCTTCTCTCTGGACTCTTTCTTGGTCTTCGCGCTCCCGTTGCTCCCGCGCCAGCCGGCGTTTCTCTGCTAAGATCCTTGCTGCTTCTTCGGCCGTTGTGGTCCCCGGAGCGGTTTTGCTGCTAGTATCTGAAAAGGAAGATGATGGAAGAATCACACAAAAGCAACACAAAGCTGCATCCAGGGGAAACCACGCTCTGCCTTGGAGGCCTACCAAGTGGAAGAAGGCTCTCACTGGCACAAATCATATGCAATGCACA